TGCTGAGCAGTCCATGCAGGGGGATAAGGGAGGCTCTCGATACTCCCCTTTCCGGTAGCACAGGAGCTGCTTCATGCACCTCCAGAGGAGCTGTGGCAGAACCTGCCTGGTATGTGATTGGTACCAAAGCACAGGAGGCATCATGGCAGCCTTTCAGAATCAAAGTGTTTGGTTTTCAAGTGTTCAGTTTCTCATCGAAAAAAAAAACATTTCTTTTCCAGAAAACATAAGCTTTCTGTGAGGATTTTCATTTTTCAAAAAGGCAATTGTTTGTTGGAAGATGGAGGGAACAGGAGAAGGTGGGTGTCCAGAAAGCCCCTGAACTCTCCACACTCAGTGCTCCTTGGGATAGCTTACTCAGTGTTACCGCCACAGCCCCCCCCCATGACCTCACCACACAGACTCGCCCAATGCGGCTAAAGATGGCACGGCCTTTGCCATCCGACTCTGCCACCTTCTCGGTGAAGAAGAAGTAGACCTTGTCATTGTCCCGGTCATCATTGTCAGGGATCAAGTAGGCAGCCACGAACTTTGGGTCTGTGTGAGACAGAGAAACACCAGGACTTATAACAATGACACTCCAAGAACAACTTCAGCTCTGTCCAGCTCTGAACAAGGCAGACACTCAGAAACAACTGCCCTCAAGGTTGGCCTATGTGTTAGCACAGTTGCCGAGAGACCTCCTGCATGCTGTGGCTGGAGTAAGAAACAGGACACAGTCATAAGCAAGTCCAAGGGCCAGGAGCGCCATCCTATTCAATCACATTTCATTGCATGGGCCACATCTCTGTGGGGAGGGTGGTACCACAACTTTTTACATTCAGGACTACCCAAGTCTCTGCCTCTCCACCACTGTCCTTCCCCCCACTCCTGGACTAATCCCCTTCCCCACCCTGACAGTCAGCCACACTGTGTCCTTCTATTTGGATCTCTAGATAAGTACTGCACATTGGAGTTATGTTGAAGAGTGTGGCTGTTCATTGCTCCAATAAATGCCAGTGGCCCATTGCTTCAAGCTCATGGCACATTGCCAGCATGGATCCCATGGGCAAAGTCAAATGGAAGATGCTAATACCATTGAGCAGCTGCTGATCCATCTCAGTGCGCAGAGCAGAGCGGGCCCCCATGCTGCGGAAGATCACCGAGTCCCGGCCCAGGAAGTCTGCCGTGAGACCTGTATACAGCTCTCCACCTGGGGAGAAAACCCCAGAAAGAAAGTAAACCCTGCGGCCTGCTCCTGCCCATGGCAAACCCATCATGGAAAGGAGGGTGGCACCGCCAGTAAAAACTGGGCTCTATGTACATGTACTATCATGAGGAGGTCTATGGCCTGACAGGAAAGGGAACCTTCTACTGGCGTCAGCAATCCAGTTCATTTGTCAGCCATGGACAAAAATACAGCAGAAGTGCCTCAAAGGGAAAGAACCTGAACTGTATTTTTGTGCCCACCCCCCTGCACAGACTCTAGATACAGCTCCAGGCAGGGTGGAGGTTATTAACCATCGCTAAGGGATCCCAGATCCAATGTGCTCTGGGCCTTGTGAAGTATGGCTGTGGTCAAAGCTCTCTGACCCTAAAACAATCTCACTGGGAAATAGTCTCCACCAACAACCTCTCCCCAATATGCCCTCAGGCAGAGGGGAGCTGACTGACCTTGGGTTAATGCATGATCTTACTAGGGCACTTGGCCTTGCAGGGTCTGAGTCACTTGCTGATGGAGCATAACACCTACCTGTAAAGGTGCTTGCAAATGCCCTGTTGGGTTCATGTGGACACTTGCCGCGCCCATTCTCCACACTTGTGGGATCCAGGCTTAACATGTGCTGGGAAGAAGAGGAATACAGATTACAGGTGAGGCAATAAAGTAATGCCACTAGGCAATGAACAAGCTGGGTGGGAGATCTTGGTTGGAGATTCTAGGCCCATGCCAGAAGCCCAAGCCTAAACCAGGGCTAGTTATGTGAAATGGGTGGTGAGCCTGGAGCTCACCTCTACAGAGGTCACATTCACGTTACCAGGGATGGGATAGGGAAATGCAGCACTTCTGGCCCTAGAAATAGGCACGTGCTCTTCTATCA